TGGGGGGGGGGGGGGGGGAGAGATATGACAACAAACATTTTTCGTGAAATTTTTGTGCAATCTTGGTAAATCAAAGAGGCAGCTTAATAATAAATATTTAATGTCCATGTAAGTCAAAGGTTACATTATAAAAGTAGACATATACTGCAATGCTGATCATATTACGTGAAAATTAACTCTGCAAGACATCAACACGACACCAAAAGAACTCAAAACAGAGCGGGATTGTAGCCATAGACAGCTGTTTCGCCCTCGTTGGGGCTCGTCAGTATAGCATAACAACCAGAAAGCTCTGGTGCAAAATATCCGCGCACTCTGATTTAAGCTCTGACCTAGAACCCTCAACACCCACAGAATCACGCCATACCACGTGTATTCTGGGCGGCAAGAGTCCAAGTGTCAAGTTGATGTCTCGCAGAGAAAATAAATAGTTGGCCAAAACCAACCTTAAACACATGGACAAAACCATTGCATATAATTATTCCTTCTGGTTGCATAGCACCTAATCCAAGAAAGTAACGAATCTCCTTCTAGTAATCACTCGATCCATTCTTGTCGATCTAGTGTGGCATCTCGGTGCATCAACCTTTCTTCCATGACAGCGGCCCGGCAGTGACGAACACCGCCTTTCTTAAACCGGAGCATTGAGGGAGAACTTGGAAGGGCATGAGTGCACTGTCGACCTCAAGTCTATCAGCTGATTTACTGTCACGGGTTTTAGACGTAAAAAATATGGTTGTTTTGCGTTACTTTTACCTTAACCATTTAATCGTCTGGACAAGAGGTTTGTTAACAAATGCTTGAAGACGACTTCTTAAACACTGACCGTACCTTTCTCCTATTTTTCCTTGGCAGTTATCCTCTTTATCTTGATTCACACGCTAGAGTTTCAGAACTTTTTTATTATAAGAGAGGACAAATGCTCACTTTTATTTATTTATGCCTTGCAATACCGGCTTAAAGCTTGATCAATCGCTTTCAAGCATTGATCTTCATTACCGGTGCTATCGGCGTCTGTAACCATATTTAAGCTAAAAATTCTGGGACACTGCTTTATTAGGGCCGGTTTTACAGGTTGTAATTATTTAACCATCCCTGACGGCATGTCACACGAAACCTTTCTCGATCCGCTTTAATATCTCGATATCGCTTTAAGCTTTATATAAAGGAAATAACGGCTGATGACATTTGCACATGACCCACTCGACCATGCCAAGGTTTAGGTCAAGCTCACACTATCCATTTGATTGCTTTCACCGGTTTTATGGACCGGACGGAGCTGTATGAATAATATATAGATTTAGCCAGGGCTAAAAGCGAAGCTCTCGATAATATTTATAGTTTGTTAAAAAAGGTATAAAATCGTGTAATGCTAAGCGGCGAAGGCAACGCCGGAGAACGGTGAAAAAACAAAAATAGGTCTAATTAGCAAAAAAGCAACTTTGCACGTGCAGCACACTTTTTTTGTACATTTCTTTGCCGTTTTTTTGCACGACTACAACGTGAAACTTCCAGAAACCTTTTTATGGAGGAAATGTCCTACGTGTTCTCGTTCACTTTTTTTTCACTGCCGCTCATTTTCTCCTTGCATTGGTGGCCGCTAGCATTGTCACCGCCGCTACAAAATTTTCATGTTGTTCTTCAAACTAACCTCGAGTTACATTTGTGTTGCCATACCTGTTGATTGAGTTATTTTAACATTGGTATGTCTGTGGTGCGGACGGACGCTCGGACGTACGGTCACGTGATTACCAAATTTTCTCGGATGGGTAGATTACCACATTTTCGTACCCATGGTGCTCCGCTTGGCGCGCGAGAGCTCCGCTAAAAAACGAATAAATGTAAATGTAAATATCATATTATCCACTCCCCTCAGGGCTTAAGGTGCAGTTTACAAGTAACGAAGGAATGAATGAGGATGCCCCCATACTTGAGTGTGAAAGTGAGATAGACCACTACACCGGGCACTACGTGCCCTACTCTTTTACGAAGAGTGTCCTACATATTTTATTACATGTGCCAGGGCTTGTGAAACGGGGCCTACGGTTTATCGTCCTTATCCGAGAAGACTAGAAAGTCTAACCGTTTGCAAATGTTATTACAAAAGGCAGCACTTTCTCCCTTTGAAAATAAATTTACAAGTAACAAGGATTTCGATTGCGAGGGTTGCAAAAATTTGCTGGCAAATCTCGGACAACACAAGAAATTCCAGCCTTTCTCATATAACTCATTGTCGAACTAATTTTCCAAAATTCTCAATTCGGTTTCAAGGTCCTAAGTTTTTCAACTCGCTAAGACGTGAAATTCAACGGTGAAAGTATCAGTTTGTTTGGCAAAAGACTTAAAAAATGCCTCCTCTCTTAGTCAAATATACTCTTTCTTGAGCTACATGCCTTTTCTTTATTTCTTTTTCTCTCTTTCTTTTCTTTTTTTTACTTTTATAAAAATATAATACATTTTTCATAAAGTACCCTTAACTCACATGGTGTAACCTATACTGCCAGGAAGCCTATATTTTATAAGCCCCCGGCTTATATATAGGCTTCCTTATCATTACCACTTTAAACATTTAATTTTTTAAACAGTTTAGTTAGAATCGAAAAGTGTCTATTATCTTTTATGCATTATAAATTTCTTGTATATTGCTGTTGTATCCTGAATGAGTGAATTTTAGCAAAAAAAAAAAAAGAAAACTGCTTGCAGAAATGTATAGCAAACATCGCAAATACAGCAAGTCGAGTAACAAGTTCAACAAAGAAACAAGAATTTTAATTATTTCACATGACGTCACGGCGGCCATATTGGTGTCCCAAAACAATGAAACGGCGGCCATGTTGGTGTCCCAAACCATCCCTCCGGGAGTTGAACTCTTTTCTTATGCAAACGCTTTCTTTTGTTCCAATAAATTTGCATATATGCTGGCCACGTGAGTGAAAACACTCTATAAACGCGACCATTACATTTTTGCATGTCTTATATATGTGCACTATTTTGACTCCACTAACATATACATACACTATTTACAGCCACACCACCGGACACTGGTGTGGGTTCTTTTACGTCCTACAAGAACCAGATACTAATGAAAATGCTGTGAGACGGAACGTACGGTTTTTCGTCCTTAATTTATCCGTGAGGACTAGAACGTCTAACCGTTTGCAGATGCCATAACAAAGGAAGCACTTTCTTTCTTAGTTATTTTAAGACCCTGAATGTTAGTCCGGATGGGGTTTGAACCGGCAGCGACCTCCTGCTTACCAGAACGGCGCTCTCCGGCACAACTGAGCTGACAAGGCGGAGTCAGCCGAGACATTCAACTTGTGAAAAATATGTTTAAGATGCGTCTGTTTAATGATTAAATGTTCTAGGCTGGAACTTGTGCCGGACGCCATATACAAAAAAAAAACTCTTAAAAAACACTCTTGACAAGTGGCCAAAAGATGTGTGGAAATGAATTCTCCTATAATGCGGTGGCACAAAACCTCGTGGAAAGCGGACTGAGGCACAGAAAGGTGAATACAGGAGCGTATGGTCATAGGCTCCTGGTGAATACTATTCCTTGTTTCATAGACTAGACTACTCCAAAAAGAGATTAATTTCAAAATTAAAGAATGATATGCAGGTCCGAAAACCTGAGAAATAGTTACACAAGCTGTACTTAACAGATCGGAACGTTAGAAAAAACTTTATAAAACAAAACGATATAGCCCGTGTTGTCTTTTTGCCTCTCAATTGTCAGGTCGTGTTAAATAATCTGCCACGAAACTGCATCATCATCATCATCAATCTTCACTTTAGCGTAATCTTCAACATATAAAGTCCCATCGCTATCATCTTGGTGCATCTAAAATAAAAATAGCATCACATTATTTCATGTTAAGAAAATTGGAAAATAAAATCAAAGAAAAAAATCGTTACACTGGGAGATTTCTCTCACTGACTAGAGTGATTATAGTTTGTCATTGAGGGCTTAGTTGTTGGCACGTATTTTAGAACATAACATTCCAAGAACTTCAGTTGAATTCGAAAATTTTAGGAACAAACGAACAGGAAATCGTTTCAAACAAATATTAAAGTTGAATGGGCAGGTAGAACTAAAAACGAGTTTTTGAATTCAATTTTGCTTGGCTCGCAAAACCTATCAGACGGATGTTACGATTTCATCCTGCTTTGCTGGTAATACATCATTTATAATATTCATACCACCATCACAATCGTTTTAACCCTGAGTCAAAGACATTTACCCACATTCTTATAAATTATGTTATAATTAAGTTATAAACTACAACTTCGGAATCGACTACTCTTGATCTTTAAGGCTGTATGTTCACAGTTGCTATACTGGATAGGGCTTCTGTTCACAGGTAAGAACGGTGATTTCGGTGCATTTTCTGTAAAAGGAGAGTCAAGCGGCGCGGCTCCGATCTCTAAAGTGGAGAGTCACATATCGGAAAGGTGGTCATACTATACCCGTCTCTGCACGAAATTTATACGGTTTAATGTGAAAATATCCTTAAATGTCATTCCCTCTGAAATATAGCCTGTTCCAGGCTCCTAGATAGTCGGGTCCGCGAAATCGAACACAAAAATAAAACGGGAGGAAACTGGGAAGAGGAAGGGCGGCACCTTTCTTTTTCCCGCCACCGTCCCCTTTTCCCAGATCATGCGCTCATGTTTTCGCGTGCTTTTCACTCACGCGTCATCCGTACAATCTGAGAGCCTGGAACAGGCTAGGGCGGTGGAAAAAATTAGGGCCCTCTTTATTAAACTGCTCAATCATAAAAAGATTTCTTATACTTACTCCCGGACACAGTCGTTCATCGTGTTCTACTGGGACACGCTGGCGTCCCAACTCTCCTGTCCTTCCTGCCCCTTCATTGTTCCACGGTATCCCCGCTTCCGGGTCTCTCTGTTCTCTGATCACTCTTTCTTGATTTTCCCTTTCCGCGCCTTCTAAGGAAAAGGGTTTACTCCCACCGCAAGTTGATGTAAACGCCAAGTAGATTTTGATTACAAAGAACATTACAACAAGCAACATGGTAAATGAGGCGATGCCAAAAGATAGCTCCAAAGTCATCTTTTGCCTTGCTATGGTGTGTTCCTTCCTGTTCAGTGGACCAGCGGGATGACTGAAATATAAAAATTAACGTTTGATATGAGTAACTAACGGAAGATTTCAGCAGACAACAGCGACTTTTAAAGGAGATGGATTGTAACTCGTTTTGTACAAGTTAATTAGGAATCCATTGTCGTTTGAGTCGATTGAGTTCATTTAAGCGTACATGATTAAGCCTAGCCAGGGTTTTGGCACATGCGGGTTCTTTTTTATTCACCTTGTTTGGCCCCCAGAATTTGGCATCAGCATTGTTTTCAATTTTTCTTGGGACGACTGTATTACCCGACAAAAATTGGAAGCAAACGTTATGCAAATTGTTTTAGGGAAAACAAGGTCAAATATTGGAGATGTGGAAATGGTCAATGAAGTATTTCAACGTCGCAATACGGGTAAAAAGTATCTTGTTTTTCCTGAATTTTTGATGTTAAGTATTAAGACACGAGTTTTTGTACAAGTTTTCATACATGAATGTATGTTGAAAGTTGACATTGCGTATGTGATCAAACTGATTATGCTCAACAGAAGTTCGCCTGGGGCTGGCTAAGGAGGGAATGGAAAAAGCGCTCGTGACTCACGGTAGAGGGTCTGAATTGGTTAAAGGGGGAAGGGGGGGGGGGGGAACCAAATGTTGGCTGTCGGTAAAAATTTCATAATTTTGTCGGTTGTCGGTTAAATTTTTCGATTTTACCAATGATCTTACTGATGATTAACAAAACAAGTTAATTATTCATATCCGTTAATTAATTCACACAGTTTAAACTCTATACAAGCATAAAAATTTCTCATTCATCGTCAATTCATCTTTTGATTGTCATGGAACCTCATTTTAAGTCTGGTTTGTTTAAGCTAGCGATCGCTTATTTCACCTTTGTTTGCAAAGACCGATAAAATCACCAATTATTCTACACTGAATTTGTTTTAACTCCAATGACCAAGAATTCTCCAATGACACCGTTACTTTGCGTTCTGTGAGTCCGGAGGTGGCTAAGGAGACCAATCCGAGCACGAAAGTGTCTGCCACATGTGATGCA